GGCTGCTGTGGCTGCTGCTTCTGCATTCCCTTAAATACAACCACTGACTCACGGAGCTAGGTGGGCCTCTGAAAGAGCACCTTCTCCATCCCACAGAGTGGAATCTCTCTTCATTAAAATCTTCCAGGGTGGAAACACTTCAGTGTCTCTCGATAATTCCTAAAGTCTGTCTAGCCCCAAGGAAGCCTCTGACATTTAACCTAGAGCCATTAGAGCCAGGTTGCTAGAAGGAGAGGGGAGGGGCTCTTTTTCCTTGAGGGCGCACAGCCTAAGTGGGTTTTTTTTTCTTTCTTTTTCTTTTTTTTAAAGTGAGAAGAGTCCCTTTCCTGTGTATAAAATGCTAACAATTAAATTAGTTAGCATTTAATTAGCAAAACAATTAATTAAAGGCTTGGTGGTGCATGCCTTTAATTCCAGCACTCAGAAGGGAGAGGAGGATAAACTCTGTGAGTTTAAGGCCACCCGGTTCCAGGACAGCCAGGGCTACATAGTGAGAACCTGTTTCAAAAAACCAAAACCAAATAATAAAATAAAATGCCAACAGGCCATGCCAAAAGACAGCAGAGTGCTGCTTGGGCCAAGAACTGTTCAAAATAAACACAAAACGATGAACAGTTAGCTGTTTCTATTTCATCCCACCTCCGTTTTCCAGGTTTCCATACTTTATTGGCTTAAACCCCTTGCCCAGAAAGCTTTCCGCCCTGACCTTGCTCAACACCAATTCTTAGCTCTTAGTGGCAAAAGCCCTCCCCCTAGTGTCGGATGGGGGAAGAAAACAGAGGGCATATTTTGCCGGAAAACACAAGCTTCACTAGCTTTGCCTCAAGAATTGCATGTCTGAAAATCAGCAATCAACAAGGATGAGGTAAAAGAGAAAGTTCTGAAAAACAAGGTCCAACTTTAACTTGCTTTAAAAATAGCTCACACAAGCAGTCAAATAAATTACTGCACACCATGTGGTGGGGGTGTTTATTATACAGCCATTGAAAATACATTTTAGGGTTGTAAGGAAATATACAAACCTAATTTAAAGAGAATAAAATCTCAATTTATTTTAAATAATAAATTAAAACCTGGAAGAAAATATGCTAAAATAATAAGTTCTTTTTGAGTGGTGAGGTCATGAGCAGTTTTAATTTTTCCATGTTATATTTTCTAATTTCCTACAATTACCATCTATTATTTCATAATCAGAAAAATGTTTTAAAAATAGCTCCCACAGAAATCTCTTAAATTCCCAAGCTACCTAGAAATACATTGAAAAACAAGTCTGAAGCCAAAGGAAGTGAAGAAATAATATGCCCAAAGTTATACAAGGTGACTTAAGAATAGGCACTGGAGAGACAGATGGAAAAACGCCAGGATCTTACCCATCTAATGTGGAGTCAAGTTGGAAAACTCCAGAAGTTCAAAGTATTTTTTTTCTTTGTTTTAGTTAGGGCCTTGCTATACTCTCTCAGGCTCGCCTCAATCTCATCATCCTCCTGCCTCAGCTCCCTGAGTGCTGGATTACAATTGTGAACTGCTATACTTGGCAAATGTTTCTATATTTCCGTATGTCCTTTGTCTCCAAATACCGATTGCCTGATGAACATGTACTGTATTTAAAGCAACGGAGAACCACCCTATGTCTACCCAGGACTTCTCTACCATAGAAACTTCAATGGTTGCTTGGGCAGAGTGGTTGCCTCTGGACAGCTCCTCATCAGCCTTTGCCCTAGCCATAACTTCTCTTCACTCCTGTAGACCAGTTTGTTCCTTCTGTCTCTCCAAATCTTGCATCTTCGGAAAGACTGCTTTTCCTAGCATTTCCTCAGGTCTGGGTTTGCATGTACCATACTTCTGTGTATTTCCTTTGCAGCTTCTTCATAGTTTCTCCTCCTAATTCCAGGATTTTTCTGAGGAGGCCAAGTCTGCCTTTCTGAGACAGAAATTCTCTACTGTTAGTCTCCTTTGCTTTAGGAGTCGTCTGAGCAAACAGCCTGGCCTTGCCAGTGAGCTGGGTTCTGGCAGCCCTGGCTCTGGCTTATGTCTGTTCTCTCTCACAGGCCCGTTCAAGCCCTGCGAGCATCTCTTTGAGAGCTGGGGCATCCGCCTTGCGGTGTGGGCCATCGTGCTGCTCTCGGTACTCTGTAACGGGCTGGTGCTGCTGACAGTCTTTGCCGGCGGCGGGCCCAGCCCGCTGTCCCCGGTCAAGCTTGTGGTAGGTGCAATCGCAGGCGCCAACGCCTTGACTGGCATTTCCTGCGGTCTCCTGGCCTCGGTGGATGCCTTGACCTTCGGCCAATTCGCTGAGTACGGAGCCCGCTGGGAGACCGGGCTAGGCTGCCAGGCTACGGGCTTCCTGGCCGTCCTGGGGTCGGAGGCGTCGGTGCTGCTGCTCACACTGGCCGCGGTGCAGTGCAGCGTCTCGGTGACCTGCGTCCGGGCCTACGGCAAGGCGCCGTCGCCCGGCAGCGTCCGCGCGGGCGCACTGGGGTGCCTGGCGCTGGCCGGGCTGGCCGCCGCGCTGCCGCTGGCCTCGGTGGGCGAGTACGGAGCCTCCCCGCTCTGCCTGCCCTACGCCCCGCCCGAGGGCCGGCCGGCCGCTCTGGGCTTCGCTGTGGCCCTGGTGATGATGAACTCTCTCTGCTTCCTGGTCGTAGCTGGCGCCTACATCAAGCTCTACTGTGACCTGCCTCGGGGCGACTTTGAGGCCGTGTGGGACTGCGCCATGGTGCGGCACGTGGCCTGGCTCATCTTTACCGATGGCCTTCTCTACTGCCCCGTGGCCTTCCTCAGTTTTGCCTCCATGCTGGGCCTCTTCCCTGTCACCCCCGAGGCTGTCAAGTCTGTCCTTCTGGTGGTGCTGCCTCTGCCTGCCTGCCTCAACCCGCTGCTCTACCTGCTCTTCAACCCTCACTTCCGGGATGACCTTCGGAGGCTCTGGCCAACCCCTCGGTCCACGGGACCCCTCGCCTATGCTGCAGCCAGTGAGCTGGAGAAGAGCTCCTGCGACTCCACCCAAGCGCTGGTGGCTTTCTCCGATGTGGATCTTATTCTGGAAGCTTCTGAGGCTGGGCAGCCTCCTGGGCTAGAGACCTATGGCTTCCCTTCAGTGACCCTCATCTCCCGTCAGCAGCCAGGGGCCACCAGGCTGGAGGGAAATCATTTTGTAGATCCTGATGGTACCCAGTTTGGGAACCCACAACCTCCCATAAATGGAGAACTGCTGCTGAGGGCAGAGGGAACCACGTTGGCCGGCCGTGGTTCTGCAGCGAGTGGAGTCTTCTGGCCCTCTGGCTCTCTCTTTGCCTCTCACTTGTAAATACCCCTTCTTGTTTGTCCTCTCCCCTCTCAATGATGGCTGCTTATAAAAAACAAAAAAAGTACAACTAAAACTCCACAGCAGGATGGCCAGCCACCCCTGGCTCTGTTGTGCTCCCTCCATGGCTATAACCAATGAATCTTGTTTTGACCTGGTCCTCTTCAGCTGTACTTCCTTCCCGGGTCTTCCCTGTCAAATCCAAATATGTAGAACAGAGACCTGGAAATTTGCTTAGGAGAAAGGAGGAAAGTAAAAGACAGTGAAGCTAGTTGGGAGCTGACAGGACCACTATCCGTGAGTGTGCAGTGAGCAGGGAGACAGGCATGGAAGAAAAGTACCAAAGACATGGAAGTATCTCCCCTATGACTCGTGGATGGGATATAAAATGTGTTCTGCGTCCCATTAATCTTGACCTATGCCATGCAAAAGTGCTTCCTGTTCAAATATGCTTTGGAAGCAGTGCCTATTGTGCCCCTTTCTTAGAGTCATGGGGTCATGCTAGTGTCTAAAAGGTCTTGAAAATTAGGACCTTTTAACTTAATTTCTGCATCGGTTAAACTTAATTGCCTGACAATAGGTTTCTGTTTGCTTTTTATGGAATACTTGTAAATATCTCACAGAACTTAGCATGGTTTTCTCCCAGGGGACTCATCTTCACACCATGGAGTGCTACCCAGTCATATCACAAGATACCACCCTCCTTGAAAGCCCTTCAGAAGCCAACCTGGGGTAAAGTACCAGAGGTGACTGGTGATTCCATCATCTAGGAGAGACTGCTCACATTCTGCTGCCCATCCTACTCCTCCTACCAGGTCAGAGACCTGGAGAAGCTGTCTCAGCCCCATGAAGTGGGGTAGGGAGAAAGAGACCCTTGTGTGTGTCACCCACACCATACAACCTCAAGCACCAATGAAATTTCTGTCCTCTGCAAGACAGGATTCTCAGGTCCTGGTAAAGTGCACACTGGGAAGTCTGTGGTTCTATGGGCTCCCCCTAACTCAATGTTACTTTTGTATGGTTTTACATTGTTTGCCTCCTGCCACAATTGGGCCTCTCTTCTCATCCCAATCCTGTTTCTGGGAGTGGTAGGCAATCCAAGAAAAGGGGTATTTGTATTGTGGGTATTTCATTTTAGGGAGTATTATAGCTGTCTGGGACTCATGGGTACCTCCAACAGGCCATTGATCCTGCTTCTCCCTTTATGACCTTCCTTACCTTATGCTTTTCCAAGTGCAGTTGAGGGACTACAAAGCGCCTTCTACCCCACTCCTAACACAGAAATTTAATCTCAGGAGAGAAGGTAAGAAGTAGGGGGAATCCAAGACTCAATAATATGTGATAATTGCTCCTTGGAATCCCCAACGTCATTATATTGAGAAGACTTGATCTGGATCCTGAGGTCCAGTAGAGCTCCATTCTCTGCCTGGATGCTGTGTTGTGATCCTTAGCAGATCCCTCTCTCCAAGAACTCCACCTTTAAAAGAAGCTGTAAAGGTCCTTCTGTAAGTTTACTAGTTACCTCTCCATAGCGTAGCTTCTCCCTCTGCCCCCAATGCCAGTAAAATTCTGGCATAGGTCAAGGAGTGGAGTGGGAGGATGAGTAAGAGGCCATGCCTGGAGCTTGAAGCATCTCTGAATCCCATGTGACTCACCGAGTAGCCCCTGGACTTCCAAAGCAGAAAAAGCATACTTTATCATTTCTTTAGGGTCCTCTCGTTGGGTCAGTTTCAGACAGAGTAGGCATTCACTAAATGATGGATCATTTATTTATCAGTTGTTTCAGGGTGCCTGATCTCTTTATTTCCCCAGGGATGATCAAGAGTCCTTAATGGGAAAAGGTTTTGTTTTGTTTTCCTGAGACTTGGTGTTTCTCTGAGATTACCCAGGGACGACAACATTTGTATTATTTTGGGGATCCTTGACTTCTAGAAAGTCACCCTAGATTTTGTTCTTTCTGCCACCAACACTATGGGATCATTGGTCCCTTTGGAGTTAAGGAACCGGCCTAGAGTGGCCTTATATTGGTGGTCGGGAAATACAGGAATTGTTCTTAAAGATGTCTTCTATGAAAGTGAGTCAGTCCTTTCAGGCTGCAAGCTTTAGTGTGGCACCATTGTCATCTTATTGTCTGTTTCTAAAGATCTGGACATCAGCCACAGCTGGCCTTTCTAGTTAAAGAAGAATTAAGGGAGACAAGAGTTGAAGTTGTCCTCTATAAACTATTATTCAGGACATCTAGCCAAGAGTGGTGGTGCACACCTGTGATTCCAGCATGTGGGATGTGAAGGCAGAAAGATGGAGAGTTGAGGTCATCCTCAGCTACAGCGTGAGTTTGAGGCTAGCCTAGGCTACATGAGACTCTGTCTCAACAAACAAACAAACAGACCCAAAATACTAGTTCATGTACCTTTACCCCAAATAAGATTGAGTAGTAAAGTTTCTTTGGGTTTTGTTTGTGGCTAAATTTCTAGCAAGTCAGTATGCTACTCCTTTGGTTCTGTCCTTTGTGATCAGTCAAAGACCATGTGTCTTCTCCTAAGCAAATTTCCAGGTCTTCGCTCTACACATTTGGATTTGGCAGGAAAGACTATGTGTCCTAGACTCTTCACAAGATGGGAAATTGCGCTGTTCAGAGTATATAAGTCAACTGTTGTCATCAACAGAATCTTCCCAAATAGTGTCCATGGGAAAGAATCCACTCCAGGAGCTAAGATGGTGGTGGTAGAAATGTCAGGACTTGGTATGTACTGCCTTGGATTCTGTGCGCCATTAGCTAGTGCCAACCGTGACCTTTACTTAGCCGAGAGACCTTTCGACCAGCTGGACCACGGCTTGCTAACCATCTCATCAAAATGAAAAACCAAAACCAAATGTACAGCTAAAAATGGAAGAGTATGAATTAGCAGAGCTTCTTGCTAGTCACCATCCTTCCTCTCTACCACCTTTCCCACTCCTTTGGGCTCCCTTTTCCAGGAAGAGTAAAGGCTTAAAGAGTAATGGAGGAGAAGAGGGAAGAGCAGGCGACAGGCAGAAGGCCTGCAGGGCCAGGATGGAAGGAGGTAGTAGGAACCCTGAGCTTCCTAGCACCAATCCCTCAACTACCTCTTCTCTGGGTTACCAAGTTCTCCTATGACCCATCACCTCTGAATCCCTTCTGAGTTCCAGTCTCATGCCCTCCCCAGCCATGTGAAATATAAAAATTATCAAGATGTAAATATCTGGGTTTTTCTGTATAATAAAGCACCAATGAAGTACCACATGTGTCTTCCCGCCTTTCTGCTGCCCCTGGGGGAACCATGGGTGTGACAGAGGTCGGGTGGCTTTGAGGGGATCAAACTCGATATCCTCTCCCTTTCTGAGTTCTGGGACACTCAAACCACAGCTGAGGAGGCTCAGGTTGATAACATGGAGGAATCAAAACCAGTTATGGTCATCTGTGCTGGTGTCCTTTGTGTGCACTGGGTCAGACAGAACAGAGTCTAAGAAGAGCTAGGAGCAGCTTAGATTTCCTGTGACTTGGATCCTGAAGTCTTGTCAGCCCCAAGCCTATTGTTGAGGTTTCCGCCAAAGAATCAGTTTATTTTCTTTTTATTGGATGAACTTCCCCAACTGCTTTCCTCCTTCCCCAGAGCCTTGCTTCTGAGTGTGATGACATTCCCAAGAAAAGCAGAAGCCCTTCCTGGGAAAGGGAAAGAGATAAAAGTTGGCAAAACCATGCGATCAGGAGAACAAGATGCTAGTTCTAGCGTGGTATCAGGGTCTATACTGACTGTCGGTTAGTTTTTTGCCAACTTGACAAAAACCAGAGTCATCCTGGAAGAGGAAACCCAGTTGAGAAATTACTTCCATCAGATTGCTTATAGTAAGTCTGTAGGACATTTTCTTGATTAATGGTTGTTTTGGGAGGACCCAGGTAACTTGGGGGTTGTGCTACTCTTGGTCCTGAGGTTTTTTTGTTTTAAAGAAAGCAGGCTGAGGCTGAGTAAGCCATAGGGAGCTTACTACTAAGCAGTGATCCTCCATGGTCTCTGCTTCAGTTCCTGCTTCCAGGTTCCTGCCCTGACTTCTTTTCATGATAGACTGTAAATTGTAAGCTGAAATAAACCTTTTCCTCCCCAAGTTGATTTGATCAGTGTGTTATCACAGCAATAGACAGTAAGTTAAAACACTGACCTAGTGCCGAGGGCCCTTCTCCTCCTCCCCATTATCTCTATTTCCATCCCTACATTTAAATATTTATCCAGATTTTTTTTTAGCTGATTCAGAATCCTGATTCCCTTCTGAGAAGACAAATGATGTCTTCATAAATTCTGCCCTCTGCTCTTTTTGAATGGAATATTCCAAACCCCTCATCTTTTTGGCTCAACTACATCAAAGCCCAGTTTCTCAGCCTTGTTAGACTTGAGTAAGAGGGAAAACATGGGGTTTATTCTAGTAAATATATGTTCCTTGAGATGCAGAATCTGAGCATCTAAGCAAACCCAAGACCAGAAAGAGTCCTGGCTTGGCGGGGCTTTTTATCTAAAACCAGAGGCTGTTCTGGTTGAGACAGCTCTGGGTTTTAGCCAGTGGGATTCTGGTATTAGTCATGCCCACCAAGGGCATGCTGTGTTCTCTGGAGGCCTGTTTTTTATGTCAATCTGCTTTGCAATCACAACCAAATGCTCCCTCCCTTCTCTCTTTTGTTTAAAAGTTTAATCTAATTTTTGAGCAAGTATTACATTTATATGATTCTTCTGTTCCTGTTTGTTGCATTTCCCAAACCTTCACTGGTTACTACGGTTGTTACTGTCTTATCCTTCCACAATGGGCACACATAACACACGAATGCACAGAGAATCTCATTGCAGCACACACTGGCTTCAAACTTGCTGTATAGCAAAGGATGGATGATCTTGAGCTTTGGATCCTCTTGTCATTACCTCCCCAGTGCTAGGATTACAGGCACATGTCTCCATATTCAATTTATGCAGAGTTGGGGTCAAACCCTGAGCATTATGCCTGCCAGGCTAACATTCTACCAACTGAGCTACGTTCCTAGTATTTCTCCTGCTTTTTGCAATTGTGATTGACCCATGGCATTCTGCATGCCACTCAAATGCTTTACTATTCAGTCAGGTTCTTAGCTCAGGGTTTTTTCAATCCATATTCAACAAACATATATGTACTTATTTCTTTTCTGTAGCATACCACAGGAATGCTTCTGCTTTTTAAAAAACCTAATATATTTCAAATAGCGATAAACACAGCGGTTTATATTCATTACATGCTGGTTAGTGTTTTGTTTTTGTTTTTGTCAACTTGACACAAGTTAGGGTCATCTGGAAAGAGGGAACCAAAGTTTCTCAATTGAAAAAAATGCTTCTACAAGATTGGCCTCTACATGCTGTGGAACAATCTTTGTAATTATATATTACTCTCATTGGATAATAAGAAGCTAAATGACCAGTAGCTAGGCAGGATTTGGGGGGCAGAGGGAATTCTGGGAAGAAGGGCAGAGTCTGAGGAGAAGCCATGAGACTCAGATGGGAAGTACATGAGGTAAACAAGCCTCAGGGCAGCACATAGATGAACAGAAATAGGTTAATTTAAGTTATAAGAGCTAGCTAAAAATAAGCCTAAGCTATAGGCTGATGATTTATAACTAATAATTCTCTGTGTGGTTATTTGGGAGCTGACTGGCAGGACAGAAAAGTCCGCCTAGATCTACAGGCCAATAAAATGCTCCTGTAGGGGCATTTAATTAATTAACTAATGATTGATGGATGGCCCATCCATATGGTGTTTTTACCCTTGGGCAGGTGTGGTCCTGGGAGGTATTAGAAGGCTAGCTGGGAGCTGGAGAGATGGCTCATTGGTTAAGAATACTGACTCTTCTTCCAGAGGACACAGGTTCAATACTTAGCACCCACATGGTAGTTTACAATCACCTATATAACTCCAATCCCAGGGGATCTGATGCCCTCTTGTTGCTTTTAGTCAGTGTCTTAGCACTGCAATAGTAAGCAAACCCTACCTCAAAAAACCAAAAGTAAAAGAATCCTAAAAAGAAAACACTATGCACAGATTATTTAGAAGGCAAGATTAAAGGTTTGAGACGTTGGCCCTCCTCTCCTGGCTAGCATGGTTGAAATACCATTCTAGTTACCAATTTCTTTAGAGTAGATCTTTCCTGCCCAGTAACCACTTCCTTCGTTCTGGGAACAATTTCCTTCAGGAAGTGTCCCACTGCTCTTACAGCATGTGGTTCAATTCACTCCAGGTTTCCCAGGTGGGAATGTGATCTGGGCTTTATCAGCACTGTCTTTGACTTCACTGATTAGACAAAGGAAGACTCATAACCAAGTCTTCCAGTAAGATCTGATCCAAGAGCGTTGGAGCGATAACAAGTACTGTGCCTGGAGCTGCTGGGCTGGGAGGATGCACAGGCGCTGGTGTCTGTCTGGGCTCTTGCAGAACAATGAATCCTGACATCATTTGAAGATCTGCACTAGCCATGCCTAAAAAGCCTTTTGGACTTGCAGGCAGTGAGCCAATGATTTTTGTTTGTGTGTGTGGATTTTTGGTACTTGTATGGAAAGAAGCCAAAGAGTCTCCTTTAATAAGTCCCACCTGTGCCACCCCCTACCCAAGCTCAGCAGAAGTGAACTCATTTGTATTTTGGTGGTCAAGGAGGATTGTCGGAAGGACCGTTAGGATAGGCTCTTTTCTTAGTTACATTGCTATTGCTGTGATAAAACACCATGACCAAAAGCAAAATGGGGAGAAAAGGGTTTGTTTGGCTTATACTTCCACATTGTACTCCATTGTTGAAGGAAGCCAGGACAGGAACTCAAAACAGGATAAGAACCTGGAGGCAGCAGCTAATGCAGAGAGGCCATGAAGGGGAACTGCTTACTGGCTTGCTCAGCCTGCTTTCTCATATAACCCAGGACCACCAACCTAGGGGGTAGCACCACCCACAATGGGTTGAGCCCTCCCACATCACTAATTAAGAAAATGTCCCCACAGGGATGCCTGCAGCCCCACCTCATGGAGACATTATCTCAATTGAGGCTCCCTCCTCTGATGACTCTAGCTTGTGTCAAGTTGACATAAAACTAGTCAGGATAGCTATCATATGGACATGGGGCTAGGTGGGAATCCCTAGGGAGTAACTTAAGGCAAGAGGATGCTGAAGTGGGGTGGGGTGGGGGAGGAGGCAGGGGAGAATAGAAAGAGGAGGTGAGAAGGTGGGAACTCCTGTTTGGATTTTGAGGTTAGTGTCATGACTGCACAGCTGAGGGTCAGCATCAGGAGAGAGTGCAGGGAACATCCACTGTCCTTAGGTTTCACTTAACCTCTCAGTTGCATTATTAGCAAAATGAGAATGATAGAGCCGAAATGCTGCAGGTTATTGGAAAGATCAGATTTGTGTGTGTGTGTGTGTGTAAAGAGCTACTACCTGGCAGTGACTCTCCATCTAGTAGAAATCTGTGGAGAACTCAACCCCTAGGTTGAGTTTTTGTGGATGCATTTGGAGAGAGGTCTGAGGGAAGTTGCTTGTCAAGGAGCTCTTTGTCCAAATGAAATCATCTCAGTGTCCTGGGTAGAGAAAGCAGGCAACGTTAGGGAGGGGGCAGTCTAGTGGGATATGGTGTCAGGAAAAGAAAAGCAAGAACAAGGACATGAGAGGGTGAAGCCCTAGAGTGAGGTGGGGAGGATGAAAGACATTAGGAAGACTGTCATCTCTGATATAAACTATCTGTTAGAGAGAGGGATGGCCACTCCCTGGAGTAAGGGGGCACGGCAAGAGGCAGGGGCGACACTTGCCAAGCAGCAAAGTGGAATGTGTTGTTTCTGCACATAGTGTGTCTGTGTCCGTTGCTCTGCCTCTCTTGGGTTTCACTGGCAGCCCTGCACAGGCCTGAACTGCAAGCTGCCCTGAAGCCGTTATCCTGGGAGCAGGTTCTAAAACCACACCCCCACGTGCCCACCCTGTCCTTCCTTCCTTTAGGCCACCCCAATCTAAACAAGACAACCTGGGCTGGGGTGTGGGGTACACGCTGATGGAAAAATACACACTTGGCTGGAAAAGGAACTTTATTTGTATGTGTTGAATTCCCGAAGCAGCCGAAGGATAAATAGCTAGTCCTAGCCTCAGCTGTCTGCCCACAAGGTGGGTGGTAAAATCTGTTCCTATTTAGATAGCTTGTGGGGAGAGGTGAAGAGGGGGACTGGGTGGGGTGGGGGGCAGCAGGAGAGAGGAACTTGGAATCTGCAATGTTTATATGATCAGTCATGGATGTCATCTCTCCCCTTTAATTAGGGGTTTGGAGTTGAAAACACTGCTCAGTTTGGTTGTCCCAGGAACAAAGCAGACTGGCAAACAGGCTGAGGACATGGCAGTTCCTAAGGGCTTACCTATAGCTAGATCACTGTCTCCACCCCCGTGCAAGTACTGTACAAATGTCAACCTTGCTGGGCCCCATGCAGGATGCTTTACAAGCATTATTTCATTCCATGCTCACAACACACTCTGAGATAAGTACCTCCATGTGGCTACTTTACAGAGGCAAAAACCAAAAGGGAAGCTCTAATATTAAGAATACACAACTGATAAGCAGTACCTATCAGAGCTGGAACTGGCTTTTCCTTTTCCTTTTGAAAAAATTCATCAAATTTTAAAAATTTAAATTTTAAATAAATTTAAAAAAGAAAGATGAGGTCTTGGAACCCAAGTTGGCTCAAATTTGATATGTAGCCTATGATGACTTTGAACTCCTGATCCTCCTGTCTCCACCTCCCAGATAACAGCTAGGTCTTGACTTTGTCCATGTTTTCAGCTATTTTCCCATCCTTCCCCGAATGAGAAGGAATTTGAACTTTTCTAATCTTTGGACATCTTCTCTTCCCCAGCCCAAGTCCTCTATAATCTTCAAAGGGATGGATGGATGGATGACTTCTACTTTCAGCTCTGCTATTGTTTTGTGAGAAGTCCTTTGTAGCCACTCTATCCCCAGCCCATGGAGCCAGACAATAGACAACATGCTTAGTTAAGGTATGAAGAAAACTAATTGAGTAATGAGTTATGGTCAGAGAGTACCTGAGGCTCTTGGTTGCTTTAGAGTGGATGATGAGCTGAGGCTGCATTTGAGTTGAGATTATCATGGCAGATGTAGGAGGTGTATAAGGGGGAATGGGGTGTATGAGGATAAAGCATGAAGGGTCTTATGGGTCAGGGAAGTAGACTAGTCTTTTGCTGTAGTTATCTTCATTGCAAATGGAAGCCACGTGGAAGGTCTTAGGAAGGAAGCCAAATCAGACTTAGAATTATCAATCCACATTTACCCTACTCCTTTCCATTTAGTGAGGCAATGGATTTCACGCACAGCTGAAATCACCCTAATTGACATATTAATGGTTATTAGGAATTCTAAGTCTGTCTAATGAGTTAAGATACAAACCTGGGATAAAATTAATTCCTAGACTTTAAAAAAGAGAATAGTAACTGACTCTAAGAAGTGGGTTCAAGAATTCTATAAGGGGGGGCTGGAGAGATGGCTCAGTGGTTGGGTATTTACTGCTCTTGCAGAAAACCTGGTTTCAGGTCCCAGCAGTTAACAACCATCTGTAACTCTAGTTCCAGGGGAACTGATGCCCTTTGGGTTCCTGCATGCATAAGGTATACACACACACACACACACACACACACACACACACACACACACACACACACACACACAATTTTTTTTTTTTTTTCCCAAGACAGGATTTCTCTATGGCTTTGGAAGCTGTCCTGGAATTGTAGACCAGGCTGGTCTCGAACTCACAGAGATCAGCCTGCCTCTGCCTCCCTAGTGCTGGGATTAAAGGTGAGCGCCACCACCGACCGGCAAATTAAATATTTTATAAAAGAATTCTTTAAAGGTAGGTGATCTAACTTTGCAATACTGCAAGACCCTAAGTTATCAATACCAGCACTGAAAAATAAATCTGTAGAAGTTAGAAATTGATTTTTAGTAAATGCTGTCACTAATGAAGCAGATAAATCCACATTATCTTCTCTGTATGAGTCCAGCACATGAATGACAGACTGCTACTTAGTGACAGTATAGGAGCAGATATAGAACAAACACTCTAGATGCACTGTAGGTATGTGACGTTTACCTTGTGTATAAAACCATCACTGCTACACTGGGATACAAAGACAGACATTATACAGCCTTTCTGTCTAGGCAGCTCCAGTCTTTCATACAGTACAGGTATCAACTGACTTATACTCCAATCTGTTATCACTGTTATGTAAGGGCTTACAGGACTGGAAGGTTAGAGTGCTGGCCAGTCAACACCCCAAATTCACCATTAGACAAGTGTGTTAGGAAATCACAATAGGGATTTAAGTTTGGCAACTAATTGTTCAGAATAACATTTGTCATGGGCCAGGCATGGTGGTATATGCCTGTAATCCCAGTACTTGGGAGGCAGAGGCACTCTTCTGTGCATTTAGGCTAGCTAGCCTTAGCCACATGGCAAGATTCTGTCTCAACAGACAACAAAACAGATTGTTGAATAAATAGAAATTACAATACAGTAATTCTCACCAGCTATATAAATCACAAAGTGAAAGCTGAAAACAATTAAACACTGCCAAAAGTATACACTGCCTTATTCCACAATTTTAAGGCTTCTGAAAAACTATACTCCCCAAATCCTAGAGGTAATGATTTTTAACAGTTATTTTTCATCTAGTCAAACATCCCATGTCTCTAGTGATGGTAAGCTGACAAAATATTTTAACATTCTGATCATATAGCTCCCAGACACACACGCTTAGGATAAACACATACTTAACATTAAGTAGTATTTATTTCTCAAGTTTAAAAGTTTTCAAAATACATATGTACAAGATAAATAAAACAAAGTATCCTTAAAGAATCACTGCATAGCAGAATTCATAAACATACATGGTCTTTTATAAGGATACAAACATTATGTCATCAAACACAAAGAAAAACATCCAAGAAAAGCAAGCAAAAGAGACCACCTTGTCACAGACTCCATTAACTAAGAGGGACCAGGACAAACTCTCTGAACATCGGGGTGGAATTTCTTTTCTATGCCTCCTAGTGGCCCGGCTTTCCTCTTCTGTGTGGAGTTGCATTCCTCAGAGTCACCAATCTCTTCATCAGCCTAAGAGTAGACAGGGAGTATAACAACATTCACACCAATGTTAATAGAAAAAAAGCCAAAGCTCTGTAGTGCTATTTCCTGATATCTTTTTAAGATTTTAGTGTGCATATATTTCCTCCAAAAGCATCATCATCAATTTTTTTTTTTTTTTTTTTTTACTTTTTCACTTCAAACTTTATCAACTCAAAAAGTTAGACGTAATGATGTATGCCTATAACAATCAAGAGGCTATGGTAAGAGGACGACAAAGTTTCAGGCTAGCCTGGGTAACATAGTAAGTTCAAGTCAGCTAGGGCTATATAAAAACAAAACAAAACAAACCACTCTATCAACTTAAACACCCCCCTCCCTTTTCCATGAATGGTCCCATAAGAGACAAAATTTTCCTTCCTAACCCAACCTTCTCATTTTTGTAACTAGTCTCTGGCTCAATATTAAAAGGGACAAATCAGGAAAAAACAAAACAAAACAAAACAAAAAAACGAGTGAGTCACCTTCCTCTATCCCTGCAACTCACAAGAACATAAAAATATCGAGCAGATGCTGCCTGCCCTCTAGTGTTGTCAACAGATGACAACTGTTAGGAAAGAGGCCAACTGCTAGTTGCATTTTGCTGAACAATTTTTAGACGGTTACAACAGGAAAAAGAACCTAACTAGTCAGTCTAGAGTATAGTATGAATGTAGCAAATTTAATAAACATTATTTAGACAAGTACTGGATTTATTTATTTATAAGTGCTTGATCTGGGATACAAATCTGTTTTTTTTTTTTAAGATGTATTTTTTATTTTTATGTGTGTGTGTGTGTGTGTGTGTGTGTGTGTGTGTGTGTGTGTGTTTCTATACATGTGAGTGCAGTTGCCTGTGGAATCCAGAAGAGGGTGTCAGATCTGTGCGAGTTGGAGGAATAGGCAGTAGTAAGCCTGATGGATGCTGGGTGCTGAATTAGGGTCCTCAAAAGAGAATTATGTCTTCTTAACCACTAAGCTGTCTTTCCAATCCCAGCATACACTCTAATATGTATATGTACATATATATGTGTACATGTGCATATATATTTATTAATTCTTTGAGAATTCCATACAATGGATTTTAATGATATTCACTCCCTCCTACTCCCTCTAACTCCTCCCATATGCCCCCCCCCCCATCTTTCTCCAACATTGTGCCCTCTTTAAAATTTTTTTGAGACAGGGTTCCTGGCTGGCCTGGAACTTACTAAATACTTACTATGTAGCTCAAACTGGCTTCAAATTCACAGAGCTCTGACTGCCTCTGCCTCCTGAGTGCAGAGATTAAAAGCATGTACCACCACCATACTGGGTCTGTAAATGTTTTGTTTTGAAATATAACTAACCCCCTAAGTCCAATTTATACTGCCCATATACTCATGGGTATGGAGTCACCCACCAGAGAGCATGGTTAACCTATGAGAGGCCTTAAAGAAAACCAACGCTCCATCCCCCAGAACTATCAACTGTCAACTGTTATCAACTTCACGAGTGCCTCAGTTAGGGGTGAGGGTTCATTAGCCCCTCCTCTCTCCATGGATATAATACTCAAACTGGTAATATTAGCAAATATCATACCTTCTGTTTCTGTCTTGCATGAGTCTCTGTCCACTGCCTGGCATTCTTGAGAAAAGCTATCTTATTATATTTAAATTCTGAGGACTGAAATGAAATCAGAATTAAAACAGAGAAACAATGATATGCTGTGATAAGCTCTAGCTGCTGAAGTATTAAAGGTACAGATAAAGCTATATTCGACTGAGGAAATGGGGATACGTACAATGTCAGCCATTAGTGGGTCATCAGGGTTGGGCTCTGCCATGAGCAGCTGAATAGAGGTCAACAGAGTAGCGATGTTGAGGGATGGTCTCCATGCACCCTATACACAAACGAACAATTGCTTTTGTATTGGTATGTGACATTGTTGAGCCAGGCATGGTGAGTCATGCCTGTAATCTCAGCACTTACTAGGTAAAGGCAGGAGGACCAGGAGTTTAAGGCCATCCTTTGCTATGTGACACACTGTCTCAGAAGATCAAAACAAATGTGACATTGTATATAACCCAAGGACTTTTTGTCTGAGACAGCTTTCATGTAATCCAGGCTGATCTTGAACTTGCTATGTCATTGAGGATGACCTTTTAATTCCTGATCCTCCTGTTTCCCTCTTTCAAGTACCAAGAAAACTTGGCATTTTCTCTAAAGAGTCAACTCTTTAACTCCTACTCACTTTTGGTGGCAATTTGAGAACATCTAGACAAATCCTTCCACCAGAATCAATGTTTGGATGATAGATTGGAGTAAGAAATCTGATCTGTGGTGGTTCAAATGGGTACCTGTGCATGTATAAGAACAGGAAATTATTTTAGTACTGCTTCATGATTACAGGAATGCACCACCATACCAGGCCTCTTTTTTTTTGTTTATTTTTTAAATAATTCACCAAGTCCAGTTTTCAAATAATTCACCAAGTCCAGTTTATGGTGCCCATATACTCATGGGTGTGGAACCACCCACTAGAGCATGGTTAACCCATGGGAGGTCTTAAATAAAACTGACGCTCCACCCCCCATAATTGACGCTATCAATTATCAACTGTCATCAATTTTACAAGCACCTCAGTTGGGAGTGAGGGCTTATTCTACATTTTAAGTAGTTTCTTGATCACTAGTAACTATATAAAATAATGATGGAACTAGAAAAATGTCAGAAAAACTGTATTTGGAAGGCAAATCTTTTCCAAATTTGCCAACAATCAAGAAGTTGAATTAATGGTATTGAAAACATTCAGAAATCTACCATCTTCTAAACACTACCAAGTATCTCCTAAGAATAAGGACACTATCCTACTGCAATACTATTACATCTGCAAAGTTTTTAAAAGCAATTATCTGGCTGGGCATTGGTGGCGCACGCCTTTAATCCTAGCACTCGGGAGGTAGAGGCAGGTGGATCTCTGTGGGTGCGAGGCCAGCCTGGTCTACAGAGCAAGTTCCGGGACAGCCTCCAAAGCCACAGAGAAACCCTGTCTCAAAAAAAAAAAAACAAAATAAGATAAAATAAAATAAAAAAATAAAAGCAAATGCTTAGTTATTATTTAATATTCAAACTTCCTAGTCTCCACATTTCCTTTTAGTTATTTAGTTGTTTTTTTTTTGTTTATTTTTGTTTTTCAAAACACAGTTTCTCTGTATAGCTTTGGAGCCTGTCCTGGCACTCACTCTGTAGACCAGATTGGCCTCGAATTCACAGAGATCCACCTGCCTCTGCCTGCCGAGTGCTGGGATTAAAGGTGTGTGCCACAGCCCGGCTCTCCAAATTTTAAAAAAAAGGGTTTATTTATTTTTATGTGTGTATTGCCTGCACATATGTGTGCCCGTGTACCATGTACATGCCTGGCGCTCAGAGGCCAGAAGAGGGTGTAGGATCACCTGGAGATAGGGGTTATAGGTGTTTGTGAGCGACCACATGGGTGCTCAGAACTGAACTCATATCCTCTGTAAGGGCAGCCACAAAGCCATCTCTCCAGTCTCCAAATATTTTTACAAACAGGCTCCAACTGGACTTACACATTGCATTTAGTTATCATATCTCTTTAGTGACACACAAACCTTGCAAAATTCCCAGTGAATTTTCAGAACTGATGTGTGACACAATTAAGCTACTCATTCAGGGCTTAACAAGTTTGGCCAGGACCCAACTTGGTAGACAGATGTCCAGCTTCATTAGTTAAGACACTCATTTCACCCCTTCTTCATTCTGTACACAGATCTGAAAGATGTGACTGAAACTGGCCTTAACATTGAGGTGGAAAAAGCAATGATGGTTGCCAAGGGTTGGTGTCAGAGTCGATTCAGGGTGGGTTTTTGATGGGTATGTAGTTACAGCTGGGAATATGAAAAAGTTCTGGAGATAATAGTAATAGTTGCACAACAGTGTGAAAATGTATACTTGAAATGGTTACAAGAGTCAATTTTATGTTATATAAAATATATAAATCACAATTTTTTGGAGGGGCAGAACTCAGTTATGATGTAGTTCACTATTTTAGAGAAAGAAACTGAACTCCAGAGACACAAAAACAACATACTAAAAAAAAAAAAAAAGAGGAAAGCTGGGCATTGGTGGCATACACCTTTAATTTCAGCACTTGGGAGGCAGAGGCAGAGGCAGGTGGATCTCTGTGAGTTCAAGGCCAGCCTGGTCTACAGAGAGTTCCAGGACAGCTTCCAAAACAATAAGAGAAACCCTGCCTCGAAAAACAAAAACAAAAACAAAAACAAACAAACAAACAAAACCCCACTTACTACATTAGGGAATGGTACAACTAGGATTGATACACTAATGCTCTAAATACTATTCTGTTCTGTCTGTGTCTTACCATGTAATTCATACTCACCTCTCAGGAACGATAACTTCCAGTGTGAAAACTCCCTTCTCATAAGGTGTGTTGGCTCCACCTAATATTTCTTGAGAAAAGATAGGAAGGAAGAAAAGTTAAAAGGGAACCAGATGATTTGAACTAACCATTTGGAGGGTTGAGGACGTAGCTCAGCAGAGTGCTTGCCTAGCATACACAAAGCCCTAAGTTCAACAGGAAACAATAAATGAACCACATATGGTAGCATAGGTTGAAATCTTGAGTACACCAGAGGTGGAGACAGGAGGATCAGAAAGTCAAGGACATACAGCAAGTTTGAGGCCAACTTAGGCTACAGGAGACCCTTTCTCAAAGGGTAACACAAACAACAGAAACTCTATCAAATGAACCTCCTAAGGTCTATAGTTCTAGATGCAGAGGCTGGAGAGATGGCTCAGCAGTGACAGTGCTTGCTGCTCTTCTAAAGGACCAGAGTTCCAATTGTGGCAGTCCTATCAGGTAGCTTACAACTAGAGCCTGTAACTCCAACTCAAGAGGAACTGATGCTCTCTTCTGGCTCCTTCAATGATCACATACACAAATAAAATAAAATCTATTTAAAAAAAAGGAACTGGGTGTAGGGCAGTAATTCAATTAGGGCTTTAACTGAGTCTCCGTGCAGTGTTTCCTGTCTGTCACCTGGCTTCAAATACTTCCCAAAGCTAATACCTAAATCTGTTTTTTGTTTTTTTTGTTTTTTTAACTAACAGTTATTTTGTGTGTGTACACACAATGTCATGGCATGTACAAGGGGTCAGAAGACAACTTATAGGAGTTGGTTCTCTCCTTCCACAGTATGGATCCTAGAGATTAAACTTGAGTTGTCAGGCTTGGTGGCAAATGCCCTTAAGAGCCACCTCACTGTCCCTGCCCACCCACCAACAAAATCCTCATTGAGACAAGATCACATTCTGTAGCCCAGCTAGCTTCAAACTTGAAGCAATCCTTTCTCTCTTGCCTCAGCCTCCAGAACCCTGAGATTGCAGACTTGTGCCACTAATGCTCAGCTGACAACTTTACTTACAAACCAATAAAAGATATAAGAAGTCAAAGACATTTTGAAAGCAAATCAACTAAGAGAGAAAGATGGCAGGGCTCCTTCACCTTACCATGTGAATTTTAGGACCATCTCCAATAAGGCTACAACCATCATCACAGGCATGATGGGATACCTACGAGCTCGCAAATCATCCACTCGGTCCTTTTCCTGCCAGCACGTGATGCCTGGGGGAGGTTCTATAGCTAACATGTGCAGTTCTTTCTTCAGGCGTGAAGCTCTCTGCATGATCTCAAGTAAAAGGAACCACAAACAGTTCACTGCTCCACACTAATGGCTTGTGGGGGTGTACTGGAAAAGAAAAGAAGCAACCATGATTTAAATAGGCACAATGACTAGCATTTCGGCACAGCTTCAATTGAATGAGGAACAGATTCTTGTGACAAAGGAAGCCTTGACTTTTTTTCTAATTTCTGCATGAACCTTTACAAATAATAAAAATTCAAGAAATTTAAAATGAAATAAGGTATCAAGTTATGAGGACAGAGCCTAAGTCCAATTCTGCTCTCAAATGCATCCTAAGCGTGTCTGGGCAGAGAGGGACTGGGCAGCTGTGCAGTCCATATGCTTTGTGAGAGCAAGAACAATGCAGCCAACATTCGGAGACACTTGTAAACTAGTGTTTAACTGTCTGACATTCTCTCCATGGATTGTACAATATCCTAATTCTTCAGGGAACTCTATCAATTAACCCATCTCACTCCAGTATTCCTGATTTTTCTGTTTTTGCCATTAACATCCAAATATGCACAAAGTCTCTCACCTGGCTGGGTGGTGGTGGTGGTGGTGGCTGCACGCACCTTTAATCCCAGCACTGGGGGGCGGGGGGGGCAAGAGGCAGTTGGATCTCTGTGAGTTCAAGGCCAACCTGGTCTATAAAGCCAGTTCCAGGACAGACTCCAAAGCAACCCTGTCTCAAAAAAAAAAAAAAAAATCAAAGTCTCTCACCTAAAAGAACACCCACAAACATACCCACTCAGCTAGTAACCATCTAAAGGACACTAATATTTTAATGGACATTACAAATGTAATCTCACAAGTTACAGCTTATTTTGCTACACATCTTTCTTTTCCTTGCAGTACTAGGAACTGAACCAAGACTCAGTTGTCCAGGCTGACCATGAGTTTACTCTAGTAAGCCCTTAAACCTGTGATTTTCCTATCTCAGCCTACACCAGGTCCAGCTAATAAATATTTTTTTATTTGTTTGTTTTTGGAGATAAGAGTTTCTCTGTGTAGTTCTGGCTGTCCTGGAACTCTCTTTGAAGACCAGGCTGGCCTTGAACTCACAGGGATCTGCCTGCTACTTCCTCTGGAGTGCTGGAGGTAAAAGCCTGCACCACCACTTCCTTCCTTCCTTTCTTTTTTTTCAAGACAGGGTTTCTCTTTGTGGCCCTGGCAGTCCTGGAACTTGATTTGTAAATCAGGCTGGCCTCAAACTCAGAGACTGGTCTATCTCTGAGTACTGGGATTAAAGGCATGTGCCATCATGTCCAGCCTCTATCATTTTTTTTAAGCCCGACGGATTATTTTATACAGTAAATGTGAAGAATTATTTTCAGTAAAGCAAAACAAAAACCTTCCAAATATGGGAGAGACTGGCAAAACAGGTCAGTGGGTAAAGGCGCCTGCTGCGTAGGCCTGACAACTACTTGATTTCAATCCCAGTAGTCCACAGTAGGAGAGAACAGTCTCCTCAAAGTTGTCTTTTGACAATCAATTGCAATAAAATCCTGTCTACAATTATAAACTATATCTTTGTATAAAATGAGAACACAGTGGAAAAACATGCTAATTGGGCTAGAATAGAAAAATAAAAAAGATGCATATTCTCTCAAAGAAGCAACCAGACTCTTTATGTTAATACAACTGGTATTCATAAAGTCCTCTGGGGGCTGGAGAGATGGTTTATCTACTAAGAGCACTAACTGTTCTTCCAGAGGATCCAGGTTCGATCCCTAGCACCCACATGGCAGCTTATAACTATCAGTAACTCTAGTTCCAGGAGATTCAACACCCTCTTCTGGCCTGGTGGGCACCGGGCATACACTTGGTGCACATACATACATGCAGACAAACACTCATACACATAAAATAAAAGTAAATAAATTCTTTTAAAAGTCCTTTGGCTTAAAAGTCATCTGCTAGTTAGCCGGGCGTTGGTGGCGCACGCCTTTAATCCCAGCACTCGGGAGGCAGAGGCAGGCGGATCTCTGTGAGTTCGAGGCCAGCCTGGTCTCCAGAGCGAGCGCCAGGATAGGCTCCAAAGCTACACAGAGAAACCCTGTCTCAAAAAAACAAAAACAAAAACAAAAGTCATCTGCTAGCGTGTGTTTCTTGAATATAAAGGTTCTTTACAGAGCCGGGGCTTGGTGGCATAGGCACCGGAGGCGCCTGGGCAGGGAAATCTATTCCATGCTAGCCTGGGTTACAGCGACACCTGTCTCAAAAAAAAAAAAAAAAAAAAAAAAAAACTCCCAACCAAACCACCAAACAAAAAGTTCCTTACAATCTAGCTCCAACAGGTGTCTTAATGTTTTAAGCAGTGCTTTTAGCCTTTCCCCCAGTAATTACTTCCCACAAATGTATGCTTACACCGCACTGACTAGTCACAAAATCTTTTCACACCCATGTGTGTGCGTCCACATTAAAGGACAGTTCCCAGTCCTTCCACCCTCTGCGCATCTTCACATTTGCAGCCTGTACGATGGATTCGCCTCAGATTCCGGAGCGCTGGCGTTTTGTTTTGTCCCCCAGGCCTGAGGTAAATAACGAACAGAAGCCGAGTGGGTAGGGGCGGATGCTGGAGGGAGGACGCAGGAGACACAGCCTTGGCGCGCGCAGGACGGTTCTCTCTCCCCGCGGCGTTCCTCCACGGGCGGCTCGGGGGAGAACCGGAGTCCTTCCCCAGACTCACCGTGACTCGGGTACGTCCTCTCTGGTGGCCCCTCAGTACTCCTCAGCAGCTCAGCTTGCCGCCAGTGGCTGCAGTGCCCACGCCGACCCCGGGGACCGTTGAAATGACTCCACCCTCGTCCAAGAAATGTCTCTGACTGGCCCGCAGCAGCCCCGGGAGAGGCGCGCGCACGCCTATTGGCCAGCGCCCCGAGCGTGCGTCCGCTCACGCAGGGTTCAAATTGGCGCGCGCGCACCCGGAACCGGGAATCCAGTCCCTGCTGTCTGAGTGCTTGCGAGTCATCATCTACAGGAGAGAAAATGAGAGAGTGTCTGGACATACCTTGTTTGTTTGTTTGTTTGTTTTTGTTTGTCGAGACAGGGTTTCTCTGTATAGCTTTGGAGCCTGTCCTGGAACTGGCTCTGTAGACCAGGCAGGCCTCGAACTCAGAGATCCCCCTGCCTCAGCCTCCGGCGTGCTGGAATTAAAGGCGTGTGCCGCCGCCGCCGCCGTCACCACACCACCCACCGGCGGCAACTGGACAAATGTAATCTGGAGAAATGACTGCTGAATAGCGAGCGGCCTTTATTTCTTTGTTTCGGTTCTTTGAGACGGCGGGGGGGGGACTGGGGGGGCTTTAATTTGCAGCCCTTCTTAGCTTGGAACTTGCTATGCAGCTCAGGCTAACCTAGAACTCCTGGCACTACTGTCTCGGCATCCCAAGGGCTGGAATTAGGTGCGCCCCACATTGCCCAAGGTTTTAAGACCAATAGTTGAAAGATAAAAGCCGAACATGGTGGCGCAGACATATTGAGATAAAAAGATCGAGAATTCGAGCTACAATGAAAGGCAGACGCCAAACCCACAACGCTCTAATAGGTCAAGGTGGATTATAATTTTTTGAAAAGGCGCAACATTTTTGGCATGGGCTCTGTTGGAGATTTGGTTAGAGTTGGAAGTAAGTGTATATGATCCTATTTCAATGTATACATTTATGGCATTCCCAAGAATTAAGAAAATGTTAAAAGAATATTTTGTAATATTTTAGCTGTTTTAATAGTAAAGTTCGCTCATTGAAAAAAAAAGATCGAGAATTTGAGACTCTTGCTACATAGATTTCCTCCAGCTGGGAAAAAGAAAATGTATTTTTAACCTATAATTCGGCTGGACACAGCATTCCACCAGGATTCTGAAGAATAAAGCCGGCAGAGTGGATTTCTTCACCATTGTAAGAGTTCAAGTGAAAGCTGAGCAAGTTAAGGGCAGTGCAAAAGTGATCCTTTGCGCTACATGGGCGCTAAGTAGGATGATACCCTCTTCCCTCCCCCTTTACATCTTCCTACTTACTATGACAACTTTTGATCCCTCAGTCACACACCTACCCTGAAATAAATGCCTTTTAAAAAAAAAAAGTTGGACAGGTTGTTTTTAATTAGTTAATTTTATGTTCATTGATGTTTAGCCTGTATGTGTGTCTGTGTGAGAGCTTTAAATCTCCTGGGACAGGAGTTACAGACAGCGATGAGCTGCCATGTAGGGTCCTCTAGAAGAGCAGCCAGTGCTCTTAACCACTGAGCCATCTTTCCAGCCCCAATAAGTGACTTTTAAGCTCTTTTCCAACTCTAGAAAGGTAAAATTTTCTGAACAAGGAAGTATGTGCTTATAGCCAAGTTACTACACAGCTGGAAAGGGCACCTCAAGACCTGAGACTCTGCAGAGCTGGGATTCGGCTAAGACTATGGGAACCTTGGGGATAGGACCCCAAATCAACCAACCAGCCATCCTTCCTCTTAACTTTAACTGCTCCTAGATTATTGTGCAGCTTCAGAGCAGTGTTGGCATAGAAATAGCAGTCCGTCTCTCTCTGAACTTGTAAACCAATATAATTTTGGCTACTGCAGTGATTTCTGCATTTTGTCCAAACTGATGGTAAGCAGCAACTGATTCCTCATGAAGGTTGCATGGTGTGTTTTGTCTTGTGGAGACCCTCAAATTCATTAGGACTCTGACTATGATTCTCCTCTGGGTGTCCCACTGTTGTGTCCAAGTTGTGAGAATCCCCAAAGACCGCCAGGGAGACAGACCCACTGAACTGTAAAAGCAAGGTTTTATTATTTTTTTAAAAAGAATTTATTTATTTAATATGTATACAACATTCTTCTTCCATGTATATCTGCACACCAGAAGAGGGCACCAGATCTCATAACGGATGATTGTGAGCTACCATGTGGTTGCTGGGAATTGAACTCAGGTCCTCTGGAAGAGCAATCAGTGCTCCTAACCTCTGAGCCATCATCTCTCCAGCCTCCAAGGTTTTATTATTTTATCCAACCATGACAGGGACCTTGTCTAGCTTGCTGATGCAGCAGCCACCAGAGAAAGTGAAATTCCCTGTCCACTGCTAGGTTTTAAAGACAAAAGTTACAGGATTACATTAGTAGGTACAGCTTGGTTTCTGATTGGTTGACATTTGGGAATAATTAGGAGAATTTTTCAAAGTCATATTTTGGCATGAAATACCTGTGTATCAGTTATTCTCATTGATCAGTGCTGAGAGGGAACATTCTGTTGTTTCTATGGCTTTGTCTTGTTTCTTGCAGGTTGGCCTGTTGTTCATAGACACCAATAGTTTTCAGAACTGTATCCTGGAAACTACAGGGGAGGTTCCCAGGAATCAAGCATTTAGGAGGCTGGGGGTGGGGAGGAGGCATCTGGAGTTTCTGTGTGTTCAATTTTGGCCCCAGGCTCCGGGAGGCCAGAGGATATGGAGTTTCCCTGTGTTAGAGGCCTACATGTCTTCTCTGTAGCCTGTCATGGCTGCTAAAGCAGGGGCTGAGTGAGGGTCTGGTCCCTTCACCCACTAGTTGTAGGATTGAACCAGTGGCTAGCTAATGAATTATATAAATTATAAAATTATAAACTAGAAAGAATCACACAATAGTATAACCTGATTTTTTCTTTTTTCCTGTTCCTTCCTTTTTTAATTGATACTTTTTATTTATTTTTCTTTTTTAATTATAATTTTTCAGATTTTTTTATTTGAATTAGAAACAAGATTGTTTTACATGACAATCCCAGTTCCCTTCTCCCTCCCATCCTCCCCTATCCCCCCCCCCCCCCAAAAACCACAACTTTTAATATTCTTTTAGGCTTCTGCTACCCCTGGATGGTGAGGCCTTCCATAGGATGTCATCAGAGTCTATCATATCCTTTGGGATAGGGCTTAGGCCCACCCCCGTGTGTCTTGGCTCAGGGAGTATTTCTCTATGTTGAATGGGCTCCCAAAGTCCACACCTATGCAAGGGATAAGTACTGAACTACTACAGGAGGTCCTGTAGATTTCCGAGGTTTCCTCAATGAAATCCATGAGTATAACCTGATTTTTAAGGTTCTACATTTATGGTTAGGATTTACTCATTTCAGTGAAGTGTTTTCTGCTACCATTTTGGAGTTACTGCTTGTTTTACTACTGCCATTTCCTGCTACTTAATCCTTTCAGCATCTTGTTCTTTCTATTCCAACAATGGCTGTATGTCAGTTAGTTCCACCTTCAGAACTGAAACGGAACCTTCCTTGGATGGTTCTCTGAAGAACAGAATTACAAATGTCTCTTAGAAAAGTCACAACTGTATTGAGTTTGGTGGGAAGGATCAACTGTAGTTTGGACAAAGGAAAGGAGGGGAAAGACAAGAGTACAGTGTACAGTGTACAGTTTCCATTTGTCCACCAGAGGGAGGCATGTTACGCATGGGGATAGAGACCAGAAAGATTGGCCTAAATGTTATTATTTTTTAATTAGTTAATTTAGTCTCACTATGAATCCAGTTGGCCTGGCCTGGGGCTAGCTATTTAGACTAGGCTGGCCTCCAACTCATAGAGATACAACTGCCTTTTGCCTACCAAGTTCTGGGTTTAAAGGCATGTGCTACCACACTTGGCCCCAATTTAGGATTTTTGAGGCGGGGGGCCTCATTCTGAATTTCAGGTTGGCCCAAAACTCACAACAGTCATCCCACCTAGGTATTATCACTATTTATTTTATTTTGTTTATTTGAGACAGGGTCCCATATAGCTCAAGCTGGCCCCAAATTCGTTATGTAGCCAAGGCTAGACTTGAACTCCTGATCCTCCTGCCTCTATTTTCTATGTGTTAAGATTACAAGCATGTGCCCGGTGGCCCACATGTCATTATTTTTTTATAAGTAGAGTGCTCTAATGTTACAATTAAAGTGTGGATGTGGAAAATTATTACATGATAAAAAGTATTTGTTTTACACAATGACATCTGAGTTGGACCAGTTATATTTATTTAGTGAATGAGTGTGCCATGTGGTATGAGTATGAGGTGTATATATTTGATACATTCAAGTGTGCAGGTAAGTATGTGCACCCGAGTAGCTCATGTGGGGTCCAGGGTGTTGGGGTCTTCCACTATTTTCTACACCTTATTGCCTGGAGACAGGGTCTCTCACAGAAGCAGGAGCACATCTCAGTTGGCTGGCCTGCCAGATCTTGAGATTCACCATGTATTTCCCAATGCTGAGGTTAGATGTGCAATCAGCTGTGCCTGGCTTTTTATGTCGGTGCTGGGGACTCGAACTCAGTTCCTCGTGGTTGCAAAACAAGTACTGAATCATTTTCCAGGACCAGTTATTTTGAAAATATAAAAATTATGTTTTGCCAGGCGTTGGTGGCGCACGTTTTAATCCCAGTACTCGGGAGGCAGAGGCAGGCGGATCTCTGTGAGTTCGAGGCCAGCCTGGTCTACAGATTGAGTTCCAGGATAGCCTCCAAAACAATACAGAGAAACCCTGTCTCGAAAAACCAAATAAAATAAAATATGTTTTATTTGTACACAGGATTGTTTGTTTGGACTTAACTTGTAGTTACAAATGTTTTATTAGGGAGCTGGAGAGCTGTCTCAAGTGTCTCACTTGCTATTCAATTTTGAAGACCTGAGATCAGATCCCGGCACCTATTATCAAGCTGTGGTCCCGCAGACACTTATAGCTCCAGGACCCAGGGAACTGATGCCCTCTTCTGGCCTCGGTGTGTATTTGCATACACTTGTGTGCAGACATGCAGGCAGATAAATAGATAAATCTTTAAAGTATTTTTTTAGGGTATTTATTTAGGAAACTTAAGCTATCAAACTTGTTTAATGAACTGACAGTATAAGTTAAGGGAGTTTTGGTTGCGTGAAGATGTTTTGGGGGAAAAGCATAGCTTTAACTTTAAAGAACAAAAACTTTTCATAGCAGGATGGATGTTTTGTGGTATAATTTTTGACTGATGTAGTTAAACTATTTAAGATATTAATAATTATTATTACTTTTAGTAATCATATAGCTGGATTATACATTGTGAAGTAGTCACCCGAGAAGAGTGCCCAGACATGGGTTTAAGCCAATGGAAAGTCTTTATTAGCTGGCTGGTCTTTGACTACATTGGGTGTTCAGAATCCCAGAGTAGCACTGAGCCTTTCTCAGGGTGAGTTTTCAAGCACAAAAACCATGTTCTGGGTTGATATACTTCAGTTAAGAAGAACAGTTATCCAGAAGCAGAACTTCAGATGCCAAAAAGTAGTTAGAGGCTTTTCCCGAACTATGGATTTTGATGGATTTAGGTCTTGGTTTTAGTTTTGTCAGATGATACTGTGTGCTAAGTTTTACAGCCTGAATGGAACTTCCTTCCTGGAGTCAGTTGTGCTAAGTCTGGGGCCCTGGTGCATTTTCTCTCTAATTAGGTAGGTATGCACTTTAATTTTCTAAAGAATTAAGCCTTTGCTGCTTTCTGTAAAAGTCTACAAAGGAAGTGTTATACTCTTACCTTCACAAGAAAAAAGAAAACCAACAAATACAATAGTTATAGTCAGATAGTAGTATTCAGTATTCCTCCTGTTTTCTGGAACCTACCATTGAGACTTATTTATTTATTTATTTATTTATGAGACAGGGTCTCTTTTTGCCCAAAGTTGGCCTCAAATCCCCTACATAAAGATAGCTTTGAACTTCTGACCCATTTGCCCCCACTTCCCAAGTGCTGGAATTACAGGCAAATGTTTGTGACCATACCTGGTTTATACAGTGTGTGCCTGGCATTCATTCTATGAACATTTCAGCCCCAAGCCTGAATTCCTTTTGAAATCTAAGCATATATATATTTATTTATTTCTGGTACTTGGGAAGTTGAGGCAAGAGGAAAACCACAGGTTTGAAGCAAGCCTGGTTTCTTGACAACTTGAACCTGCCTCAAAGAAACAATAATTAAAAAAAAAAAGAATGTAGCTGGGTGGTGGTGGCAGCCGAGGTGCTTGCCTTTAATCCCAGTCAGAGGTAGAGACAGGCAGATCTCTGTGAGTTCAAGGACAGCCTGGTCCACAGAGTGAGTTCCAGGACAGGCTCCAAAGCTACAGGGAAACCCTGTCTCGAAAAACCAAAAGAGAAAAAAAAGAATGTAAGAAGAGAGAGAGAGTTAGAGGGATAGCGGGAAGGAGAGAGGGAGAGAGGGAGGGAGGGAGAGGGAGAGAGAGAGAGAATGAGAGAGAGAGAGAGAGAGAGAGAGAGAGAGAGAGAGAGAGAGAGAGAGAACAAAAAGGAGAACATAGCCAAAACCTGGGAGGCAGAGTCAGAAGGATCAGGATTGCACATTCATCTTCGACCAGCCTGAGCAAATGAGACTCCATATCAGACAAAACAAAACAGAATGCAGTCCCACATGACATAACATTGGTCCCTGGAAATTTTATCTCACTTTTAAAGCTCTTGCTAGAAATCAGTGTGTTGGTAAAATATAAAATACAAATAGTGAAATACAAAGCTGAGTAGCTGTCATTCACTAGGAACATAATATTAAAATAGTACAGGAGGACTGCAAAGAGAGTTAAGCCGATGGTTAAGTAATCTTTCCTGATTTATCTGTTTGTATTTGAGACAGTCTCCTTTGGTAGCTTAGGCTGGACTCAGATCCTTCGATCCTCTCAGATTATAGGTAAGTTTTATTATGCCATCTCCTACCTTACTTTGATATTAAATTCTTTTATTCTTTAGGTAGAGTTCTATTTAGGAACTTTGGAGAATTTAAATTATCAACAAGATGAAGTTCCATGTTGACAAATTACCAAGAAAATATCACTACTTTTTTTTTAAGTTTTTGTTTTATTGAGACAAAGTGTCCTATAGTCCAGGCTGATCCGGGCTGCTTAGGAAGAAAAGGATGACCTTGAACTTACACCCTGCTGGAACCTCCCAAGAACTGAGAGTACAAGTCAGCACTACTCCCACCCCCTCCTTCCCTTCCTGCCTTCTATTTTTCTTCTCTCCCCTCTTTTTTGTTTTGTTTTGTTTGGAGGGAAGAGAATTTGAGACAAAGTCTCATTCTGTAGCCCAGGCAGACAATAAATGAACTACATAGTCCAGGCTGCCCTAAAACTCCTGGCAATCCTATGTCAGCCTTCCTGGTGCTGGTATTACAGGTGTGAGCCTCTTAGAGCAGCTTCTTTCTTCAACATATGATCCCTAGATTATTCCAATAGAAAATGAGGAACGGGCAAGTGCTTATATGTTAGGATGTAACACAGCTTCCCTTTATAATGATCTAATATTTTCAGATTTTTGATGAAAAATTTCAACAATTCAGGAATATTTATGGATTTGGAACAAATGTCATATTGAAAATACTTAATGTAAAACTGTAATATTGCATGTGTATGAATGCTTTTACCCATGCACATTCACAACTAGTACATGTTAATAAAATTAGATGTAAAACCAGGACATGAACTTTAGTTCTGTTTAGTCCTCCCTTCTAGAAAATAAGGTTAATTACTGCTGCCTTTTCACTCTTCTAGTATTAAGGGATAATTAAGGGAGCTAAGTTTAGTGTTCACAACAATAATAAACTACGATTCCCAAAATGCCTAGAGAAAGAGGTTGCCACTGGTCGGGGCAGATGCAGCTTCAGGGCAAAGGTGTCTGGGCTAGGTCTAGCAGCAGAGAAGGGTGCATCTTGTCCTTGACAGATTTCTAATGCATGTAGGGATATGTAGTTCCCATAGGGTCACAGCGTGGCTTTAGATCAGGTGTCTTACTACAAGTCCCGTGATGACAAGGGACTTGAGTAGCGCCTGCGTGCTGAAGCTAAAGGAGCGAGTGGGCGGTGCTAGTGCCTGGAGGAGTAAAGATGGCGGCGCGGGGTCCTCCGCCTTCATTTCCCAGCTGAAGCCCTCCGAGGGAGGCGGTGGCGGCCACACAAGGCTACCAGCCTTCTGGTGGTGGTAGTTTTGGCAGCAGCTGCGGAGGCTAGAGCCATGGCGGAGCTGGAGCACCTGGGAGGGAAGCGGGCAGAGTCGGCGCGAGCGCGGCGGGCTGAGCAGCTGCGGCGCTGGCGGGGCTCGCAGACAGAGCAGGAGCCCGTGGAGCGACAGGGCACGGGGCGGCAGCTGCAGACAAGACGCGGGAGCCCCAGGGTCCGCTTCGAGGACGGTGCGGTCTTTCTGGCTGCCTGCTCCAGCGGGGACACGGACGAGGTGAAAAAGCTTCTGGCAAGAGGTGCGGACATCAACACGGTCAACGTGGACGGCTTGACAGCCCTGCACCAGGTAGGACTCCCCTTTCGGTCGGGGGGAAGGGGGGTCTTTTGCCTGCAAGCCTGCGACTTCCTCACCAAAAGTATTGTTAGTGTCACCGTAGAGCCCTCTTGCAAAGACTATGCAACTTCAGCCAACTCACGTGCATTCTTGGTCACCTCCTTCCACTCAGCAAGTCTTTTTCAGACCCTAAGGTTAGGGTCTTTACCTGAAGGACAGGTGTCACCTGGGTGACTGGTTAGTGTTTGTATTTCCCTCCACCTACTTGGGTTGTCATGGTGACTGATGATTTGGTCCTTGGTGTTATCGCTATAGATTAGTCATCTTTTACTTCTATCTTGTGCCTGTACGGTCACGTCACTCATGCATACACTTAGTGTTATTAGCCTGACACCCTTTCTATTTGTGTGGGCCCAGTTATCAAAATGCCTTCGGTCAGTTAAAGAAAAATTCCAGTAGTGGATTAAGACAGACAGCTCTTCTGAAACGACACTTGTTTTGCTGATGTGTGGCACCCTTAGAACACCCTTGACCTCATTGTTATGTGTCAGGGACAGTATTATTTCTGTCTGATACTTATGGAATAGACTTTCAATTTCTGAAGCCCTCTGTAGAAATGATTATCTTTAAAAAATAGAAATGACTATATATATGGATTGCAGGTAATCTGAGAGTTTGGTAATAGCGCCTTGATTTCTCTCACTTATGCAACAATATTCTCTGAATACTGACTGTGCTAACTCCACCCCCTCTCCCCAGTTGAACTTCATTAGTTATTTTGGTGAGCTGAGAGTTGGGCACCCACTCTCCTTCCTTCTTCCCCTTTGAACACAGAATCTCATGTAGTTCAGGTTGACTTAGAGCTCTCCGTGAGCCTTCTGTCTCTATGTCCCCAGTGGTGGGACTGCCCAAGTCTTTGAAGTGCCTCAGCCCAGAGCTCTGAGCATGCAAAGCAGGAACTCTACCAACAGAGTACATCCCCAGCTCTCTTCTTTTCCTTTTTCTTTCTGTACAAAGTGAATGTGTTCACAGAAGAATCCACTTTTAAATAATAATTCAAGTTTGCCTTAAGATCTCTCCTTAAGCCGGGTGGTGGTTGTGCACACCTTTACTCCCAGCATTCGGGAGGCAGAGGCAGGCGGATCTCTGTGAGTTGGAGACCAGCTTGGTCTACAAGAGCTAGTTCCAGGACAGCCTCCAAAGCCACAGAGAAACCCTGTCTTGGAAAAAAAAAATAAAGGACCCCTCCTTAAATATATTTAGCAAATAGCTTAAAATTGTTATTATTGCCCTTTTTCCTTTTCTTTCTTTCTTTCTTTCTTTCTTTCTTTCTTTCTTTCTTTTTTTTTGGTTTTTTTGATTCTCTGTGTAGCTTTGGAGCCTATCCTGGCACTCACTCTGGAGACCAGGCTGGCCTCGAACTCTATTATTGCTCTTTCATGTGGAAGAAAATTCTCCTATCATCCTATAGTACTCAGTGCACCACCTGAAGTATTTATATATAGCAATCAGTATTTATATAGTGTATTTCTGTTTAAAAATGATTTCACGTGTCTTCTCTCATCTAAGTCCCTGTAGGTAATGTTCTTCTGCAATGGGTGTAGTTGGTAATAATGTAATTCCCACTTTACAGAGGAGGAAACAACCAAGAGAAGTTGTGTGTGTGAAAAGCTAGGAAGGAGAGCAATTGCCTGTGAAGTGTGTGTGCGTGCGTGCGTGCATGCGTGCGTGTGTGTGTGTGAATGTGTATGTGTGAGTGAGAGGGAGGAAGGGGGAGAGCTAGGAAGAAGAGCAGTTGCCTGTATTGATTTTTCAGATTTGAATCACAAAGCCCTATAGCCCACTGAACAAGGAATTGGATATAAGATGTGGTAGAAACTAAGAGAACTACATTTAACTTTAAATAAGATTTAAACTAAAGTTTTGAACTCTTTGGAAGGGTGAATTCCATACATGTGAAGGACAGAGGTCAGCAGGTGTCTTCCTCAATTATTCTCCACCTTTATATTAAGTATTATTTTTGGTGTAACTCATAACCTTGTTTATTGTCTTTATTTTGGTTAGTGTGTGTTTGTATGTGTAAGAGTGCAGGTATGTGTGTGCCATCATGTGTGTGTGGAGTTGAAAGGACAGCTTAGAGGAGTCAGTTTTCTCCTTCCATTGTAGGTTCTGGAGATGGAACTCAGCTGGCAGGCTTGCTCAACAAGCATGCTTACCAGCTGAACCTTGTTTCTTTTAAAGTGACTCCATTAGCTAAGTTTAGTCCTTCCCACACATTTGTGTATTACTCGGGAAAGTCACTCATGTTAGACCCTCCCTTCCAGTTCTGTCTCTCTCCCTCATGATAAACCCTCCCCTTCCAGTTCTGTCTCTCTCTGCCTTTATCAAGAGACTGATTGCCTTGGTGCCTCTCCTCTCTTCACTAACACCCTTGATTGTGACGTGCAATGTCTGTTAGTTGATGCACTCTTCACAGTCAGTCATCTCTTGAAGTAGGAAAGAAAGGGGATAATAGCTATGGAATATTTGTTTTTCACCTACAAATGTAATAGAAAAATTCCTTCACATTTACAGACTTGGCCTTTGAATTGAATGCATATACTCAATACAAGGTAAATTCAGTTAAAGATTAATCTGCTCAAAGATTTGATGTTAAATCAAATAACTTTCTGGTTTGTATGCTTCTTTTTCTCTGAAAAAGAGTCTTAAACCATAATTTAGGATAGTCTGAAATTCACTGTGTAGCCGAACTCATGGCAAGACTCTTGTGTTAGTTCCCCAAGCACTGAGATTATAGATATGAACTACTTCATCTTGCCTGTTCTATTGGGGAACCATCATTGAACCTTTATTGGCTTAAGAAGTCTTAGAAGCCAGTTGACAAAAGAGATACAATTTGTCTCTCTAGGATCTGAAGGACTCTTTTTTGGAGGGGAGGGCTTTGAGACTTGGTTTCTGGTACCCTTTGCTGAGATCATAGGTGCTCAAGTCAAAGATAACAAGATCTAGGAGAACATTAATAATACTTAAAAGATAAACTGGGCCTAGCTCAGAGTCTAGACCAACTTGGATGAAAGCTTTGGAAACTGAGATAGACTAGCCAGAACCATATTTTTTCTTAATTTAATTAAAAAAACTTAAAACATTTATTTTGTGGTCTGCAGAGATAGCTCAGAAGTTAAGAGCACTGATTGCTCTTAGATTTGCTTCCAGCACTCACATGACAGGAAACTGGCTGCGATTCCAGTTCCAGGGGGTCTGACACTCTCTTCTGGCTTATATGTGATATACATGTAGGAAAACCACCCATACACATAAAGTAAAATAATAAAAAATTAAAGCTATTTTTATTTTATGTGTCTGAATGTTTCATCCTGTGGTATGTCTGTGCACCACACATGTGTAATTCCCATAGAGGTCAGAAGAGGGCATCAGATCCCCTGGAACTGGTTGTGAGCTACCTGATGTGGAAGATGGGAACCAAACTTAGGTCTTCGGGAAGAGCAGAAAGAGCTTTTAACCACCGAGTCATCTCTCCAGCACCAAATTTTATCTTTTAAATTGGCATACAAAGTGTTAGGCATCATAATGGCTTTCTTTTTTTTATTTGACTTAAAAAATAAGTTCATAATAGAATTTTTGTTTGTTTTTCGAGACAGGGTTTCTCTGTATTGCTTTGGAGGCTGTCCTGGAACTCAATCTGTAGACCAGGCTGGTCTCCAACTCACAGAGATCCGCCTGCCTCTGCTGCCCCTCCCCCCCAAGTGCTGGGATTAAAGGGGCACCACCACTGCCCAGCAGGAAACACACTTTGTTTTAAAATTACATTATGAAGCCGGGCATTGGTGGTGCATGCCTTTAATCCCAGCACTGGGGCGGGGGTGGGGGCGGTGGGGGGTGCGCAGAGGCAGGCAGATCTCTGTGAGTGTGAGTTCGAAGCCAGCCTGTTCTACAGAGCGAGTTCCAGGTCAGCCTCCAAAGCCACAGAGAAACCCTGTCTCTAACTGCCCCCCCTAAACCCCAAACAAACAAACAACAAGAAAAAACAAAGTGTGTTTCCTTTGCTTCTTAACTCCCATGGTGTCCTCTCTTCTCCTCCCTGCCCTGTCTCCCCTTGATTTACCCTCTTTGCTTTCACATTGCAGGTGTCCTTTTGTATGCTCTGGCGTTCCTTAGCACTTCTTTTTTTACCCTGTCTCGGTCTCCTTCCTTTTGGGGCCTTTATCCTTGTTTATACTCATGTAGTCATGACAGAGAACATGTGGTGGTTGTCTTTTTGAGTTTGGTTTATTTTGCTTAATGTATTTTGTAGCTCATTCCATTTTCCTGCAAATTTCATTTTTTATTTTCAGCTATGTAAAATTCCATTGTATATTGTCTTAATTACTGTTCTGTTGCTAAGAAGAAACACCATGACCAAGGCAATGTATTGAAGAAGGCATTTGATTGGGGGCTTGCTTACAGTTTCAAAGGGTGAGTCCATGACCCTCAAGTCAGGGAGTGTGATGACAGGCAGGCATGGCACTGGAGCAGTAGTTGAGAACTTTCATCCTGATCCACAGGCAGAAGGCAAGGGTGGGGAGGGAGGAGAGAGAGAGGAAGAAGAGATTCAGACAGTCAGACAGACAGACAGGCAGATTGGACCTATCTGTCATGGGCTTTTAAACATCAAAGTCCACCTCCAGTGATACACCTTCTCCAACAAAGCCACACCTCCTAATCTTTCCTAAACACTTCCACCAACTAGGGACCAAGTGTTCAAATATATCAACCCATTTTCATTCAAACCATCATATATCTATCATGTTTTAAATATCTTTTATTACTTGAGTGTTTGTATTTTTGTGCCACAACACATATGTGGAGGAGAGAGGACAGCTTTTGGGAGTTGGTTCTTTCCTTCCACCATGTAGATCCTGGGGATTGAACACAGGTCCTTAGGCTTGGTGGCAGGGACCTTAGCCTGTTGAGCTGTCTTGCAGGCATTCTATCATATTTCCATTATCTGTTGG